ACTTTCATTAGTATAAAATATCCATATCACATGTCTTAAAATGTGATCTTTTTCCGAATCTTACATTAACGCGAGATGCTTTATGTACTTACAGATTCAGCTCTTTTTAATAGCTTTGAAATGATGGGGATATTATTTGAAAAAAAAACATTTAAATTATTGATGATTATATTATTTGAATAAGTGATATAATTAATAATCATATCTATGATTTGAACACCTCTAAGATTTGGTGATATTGTCATCGCATCTATTTATTGTCCTTCTGGCGGGAGTCAAATATTTTTTATTTCTGCTTTTACCTTTTTATAATACTCCAAAAATTTTCTTTTAAATTATTTAGTATAACCAACAAGTCCATATCGGCTCCCTTATCCATCACTATTTTTTAATGTTTAATTATAATGAGTAAGCGCTAATTGAGTGGACGTAAATATCGTGTACATTTAGGTTTCGAGAGTTAATTGAGGATTTTTATTCGGCCACAAAAGAGATAATTGATCATACATAAGTCATTTCTTAATAAGTCATAGCTAATATGCACTTGGAAGTCAGAAGTTATGATAGAAGCGGTTCAACTATATTAGTGATCTAGCAATAAAATTTAGTTTTTTGAGATCATGAGATGTGAAGTTGTTAAGAAATTACTTTTTGTAATCGATTTTCTCTGATTATTCTTTTTTCACTTGATAATATGATCAATATATTTAATTTTCCTTCAAAATATGTCAATTTTCTTTTAATAATTTTTAACTTTTATATATGAAAAAAAATAATTTTCTACAAATAGTACTCAATATTTTTTTTAAAAAATAAAAATATTTTATTATCTATTATAGTTAAAATAAAATAAGACATTTCAAATTTAAATGCCTAAAACAATTGATTTCTTCAACTCTATTGAGAGGATATTCAACTTCTTTAATTACATAAACCAGGACATAATGTCTTTATCTTATTTATTTTTTCAATTTCCATAGTTCATCTTTAAAAGGTGGGTCCCATTTGAGCAGCTTCCCCTGCCAATATCAATGGACAGGGCTTTATTTCAATTTTGTGACAGGAATCAACACCGTTCGTCAAATCCTAATCTATGTTAAACGTTTGCTGGACCAACATGGTTGGTTGATGTATAGGTGAAACAGACTCATCCTTGATTAAACTTTTTGGGTTCAAGCTTTAAGTATAAAGAAAATTACGTTTATCTTATACGTGATTCAAATTTAGTCGAAACTCAAATATGGACTTCAGACATTAAAATCAAAAAAATACTTTTGCCTTTCCCGGCAGAGGCTCCTTTTGTGCTCAGAGTTATAGCACTTCCCAATTGTACCCCGTGAGTACTCCACCATATATATTTATCGCCGTTTAGTCATTCTAATAGTCTGCTTTGTTTAGTTTTTTGGCCAATCATGTTACAATACATGTTTAATGTCAACGTTACCCGAAAAATTATTTAGCATCAGTTAAATAGTTAATAAGGTCCGAGTTAGTGTATAGAAGTAATAAAATATGATCTGGTAATTAAATATATTGTATGGTTCTACGTTTTGAAAAGAATATTGAATCTCATTGTATACCGTGTTGGTCTTGAGCATCTTAGTTCATAAATTAAGGGCATCAATTTCCAAGGCATCTCAGAACGATTATCATTATTAGTAGGCCAGCAACAAGATATTTATACACAACACAAGCATAAGGTGGATCTATAATAATTAAATGCAATAATGAAAGTAAGCCAGTAAGTGTACGACTGGAAAATTACAGCATAACAAACCAAAAAAAATTATGATGAAATGATAAATATTTTTTTATATTTAATTTAAAGTCTAAATTCGAATGCTTCAATTTTCATCTTCAAATATCAGATATGAAGAATCCAAAAAAGAAAAGAGAAGGAAAATGACAACATGGGAGAGTGATATTTGAAAGGTTATGGTAGGTAAGGTACACGTGTAAAAATGAGTAGTCATAACTCCAGAAGCTTGGGGAAATGGGGAGAAGGAGTAGTCACCATCTTGTTGGATAAGGGTAAAGTTGGAAAATTTTGCATGTTTAGTTACTGAAACGTGGCATTATAACAAAGATGACTGAGGAAGGAAAAGAGAAGCTAAGTAGCAACAGCCAGGCAAACACTACCAGGCGGCGCCATACTGAGCAATCCACAACATTGATAAAACCTGTGCGCCTCGATCGACGCTAGCTCTTTGATTAATCTCATGGGCAGTTTCTGCCAACCACTAAATGCACGACTGCAATATAAATATAAATATGAAGAATTGAGCCTCGTTTTGGCTTGACAATATTTGATGTTCATGTGCTTTCCCGACAACTTCACGCCACAATAAACACCCACACTCCTTTGGAGTTTGCCCTTTCTTGTCTTCACACACTTTACTCGTCATCTCAGCAGATGCTGCCCACGGTTTTCACGCGCTCTCTTTCATCCTATATACTACAATTATTGTAGTATCTATTCTCCTCAATATTACCACTCCTTACTCCTTACTCCTTATATATATCCATTGTACTTGTTCCGTTTTTCAGACATGCATCCAATTACTGAAAAAACAACATCGGCAGATGAGGTATACATACAACTCACCAAATGTACGTCATACTCTTAATCATTCGTGACGGAGTCAAGATTTTCATTAAAAGAGTTCAAAATTTGAAAAATAGACACACAAACTAGTGGAAGGAAATTCGACATTTACTATATATATCTAAAAAATTATTTTACCTTATATAGTTTTTGGCCGAACGAACGGATTCAGATGATCCCTGAAGTCAAGGCGGCTACACCCATGGTCTCCATAACGTGTGTTTCGAAATGATAATGTATACCCAAATTTTATCTTTATCTACTTTAATGTGAACAATGTATTTTCGATAAATCCTTAGTTGAGATCAACAAAAGTGAGATACAGAATCTATTCTACTTCATTTATCTCATATTTATGTGTCCTACTTTCAATCTTTTTAAAAGAAAAATTAACATATTTTTGTTAAAAATAAATGAATTTTAAACATGTGTTTTTTTATTAATGAGAAAATTTATTGCAGAATATATATAATCTATATTTTTAAAAGAAATATTTTCTTAATTACGTGCTCAATCAAAATACTCTTTACATAAATTAAAACACGAAGGTATTAATTTAACTTATAATGATTTGTATTACTTAATAAAATTTAAAAGTGAAATACATAATCAGACAAAAGAAACGATCTCACATTAAAACACGAAGATATTAATTGTGAATGGCATATCCCGCAAATATGCTACTAGTTAGCACGTCTGTCAGTAACAAAAACTATTTTATTTCATTAACTAATCTACTGAATGATCTCTAGCTATCTCCATTGTTGTATGTTATAATTTGTTTTTGGGTTTTTCACCTGGTGATCAAGGCTCATTTTGAAGCTCGAATTAAATTTGGGTCACACATTGACATTATTATAACATATATATGCATACCGAGTACAACGAAGCTCTTCGAAAATTAACAAATATTAGACTATCAAATATCAAAATTTCACAAAAATTAAAAATACGAACCTATTGATTATCCTGTGATTACTATACTAATCAATTAGAACTGTATAATTACACTTGTTGACATGCAGTGTTATGCCTTTTATATCTTATTCTTCAAATTTCGATTGGCAAACTAATTTTAATAGAGTGAATTCTGTCACAAAAGATTTAACTTAATTAAAATAAATTTACATATTTTAAACATTATATTACAAATTATAATAATTAACAATTTTAAAAAACATAAAATTTTACGATTAAAAATAAAATCACATCAGACGATATAGGTAAAGTAACTTCAACACTTATAACAAAAGGATAGAATTGGAGTTGAAAATTGGTCAATCAGAAGCTAATGGAATAGATTAATTTTTCATAACACAAATTAAGGTCCTAATAATTCATGTAAAAGATTATAATTTATGAGGCACATAGATTAGATTGTAAAAAAAAATGTTGGGTCTTATTGATCACTGCATAGTGCCGACACCAGGTGACCTCATGGGGAGGTTGACCTAAATAAATAATAATTCCCAAGTCCCCTATACTGTTAACTTAATTACGGACCATTACTATTTAATTAATCCTGTTTAGCACAAGCAATCTATTGTTATTGGAGCGTGCTTCACGCGCCTTGGTGTCTTGCTCTTTCTAATTTCGTCATGCATCAATCCAATTATGTCAACATACACCTTTTTATAACACTAATTACATATATTATTTATGTTTAGCACTCTGTTCCTAATTACTTGTTTATTTTATTTTATTTTAGTTGTTCATAATTACTTGTTTATTTTGACAAATCAAGAAGGACAACTTTGAAAGAGATAGAACTTTTCGAAAAATCTTGAATTTTTAATTCATTCACTTCATAATTAATAAGGGTCAAATGATAAACTCACTATATCAATCACTATTTTGTTAATAGATTTGTCAATTTGAAAGTAAACAGGAAAATAAGATTATTACTAATCGCACGCCAACAGAAAACTATACTATACGACTGAGTAAAATTAGTATTTCCCCCTTCCAATTTAGGTAACATACGTCCCTTTTTTAATCCAAACAATCATATATTTTTAATTTTAAAATAATTGATTTTTGACCTTATTATTTTATATATAATAGAATAATTTATAATTAGATAAACATTTATGTATGACATATTTTAAATTACAAAATATATAAAAACATTAATTTATTTTCAAATTTTATGTTCAATGAAATATCGATGCATAAATGAAAACTTACAATATTATTATTTTTTATGTTTTAATTTAAGTGACACATTTATAGTTCATGTCAAGTAAAATAGTGTTAATATTTCCCAAGTATGTCCTATCTTTGCCTATAAAATCGTTCTTTGATGCCCCATAATCAAATACAACACTTTTCTCACTCTTGCTCTCTTCTAACTCTTGCAATACTCTGCCTATCATAAAAAAAATCCTAAGAGAAAATGAGAACAGATATAGAAAGCCTTTGGATTTTTGCATTAGCTTCAAAATGCATAAACTCTATCTACTTTATTCTCTTCATTGTTCTGTTTTGGCTAGTCATGAACATCATTTACTGGTCTCATCCTGGAGGCCCTGCTTGGGGAAAATATAATTGGAGGAAAAATTCCTGTTTAACTAATAACAACAATAATATACCCGGCCCAAAAGGATTTGTCCTAGTAGGAAGTATGAACCTCATGGTTGGTTTAGCACATCGCAAAATAGCAGCGATGGCTGAATCTTGCGTAGCCAAGCGTCTCATGTCGTTAAGCCTAGGCGAAACCCGAGTTATCGTTACGTGTAATCCAGACGTAGCTAAGGAGATTTTGAATAGCTCTGTTTTCGCTGATCGTCCTGTAAAAGAATCAGCATACAGTTTAATGTTCAACAGAGCAATTGGTTTCGCTCCATACGGTGTCTACTGGCGTACCCTTCGGAAAATTGCAGCCACGCACTTGTTCTGTCCCAAGCAAATTAAAGCTTCGGAAGCTCAACGTTTTCAAATTGTAAGACAGATGGTTACAATGTTCCAATTAGGCGGACAGGACGACGTAGTTCGAGTTAGAGATGCTTTAAAATTGGCTTCTTTAAATAACATGATGTGTTCTGTTTTTGGGCGAAAATATAGTCTTGATTGTTGTAACGCAGAAACAGAGGAATTGGGAAAATTGGTTGAGGAAGGTTATGAGCTTTTGGGTATGCTTAATTGGTCTGATCATTTATCTTGGCTAGCTGAATTTGATCCACAAAAAATACGGCTCAGATGCTCTCGTTTGGTACCTAAAGTGAACAAGTTTGTTAGCAGGATCATCAACGAACATAAGGCTCAATTGGGTGATGTTCATCCTGATTTTGTGCATGTCTTGCTCTCTCTTCAAGGCTCTGAACGATTATCAGACTCTGATATGATCGCCGTACTTTGGGTAAGCATTATATATTATTATAGCACAAAAACTAATCACTGAAATTCTCCTCGTTGTTAATATGTCACTATATCTTTTAATGATATGTAAGCATAAAAAAAAAAAATACTGACTAATTTGGATTTAAGTTTTATGCCACCATGGTTTTTATACCTTTTTCACAATTATGGTTGATTAATTACTCATCATTTTTCACTTTCTGTGCAATTAGTAGTAATATTTTTATGAACTGATTCTGTGAATATTTAGTTTTCTCGTAAATTTCTTTCCTTTTAAAAGTATATTTTAAAAAATTCAACCATGCCATCCCTTCTAGTGAGAATATATTCAGGGTCAATTTCTGATTTTCACAATCGCACTTGTTCTGAAAGCAACCACTTTTTATATTTCCCTCTTTTCTTACGTGGAACTAGTTGCCTTTTCATTTTCATTTAACTCCTTTAAATATTACAAACAAATAGGATGGCACCTTTAAAAAGAATAAAAAGAAACTATTCATCATTGCACTTGATGTAATAACATTATCTTATTCTACTTGAACATACACGCGGACATAAAATCAAATCCCACAAAAAGAATGCACTAAATTCTCTTAAATCATACAGTTTTATGATTAAAATGTAGTAGTAACTTTTTTTTTTTGTACTATGATAATTGTAGGAAATGATATTTAGGGGGACTGATACGGTAGCGGTATTAATAGAATGGATATTAGCAAGAATGCTAATTCATCCTCAAGTTCAATCAAAGGTCCAAACAGAATTGGACCGGATCGTCGGAGAATCACGTGCCTTGACGGAGTCCGATGTATCGGAGATGACATATCTACCGGCTGTAATAAAAGAAGTACTAAGGTTACACCCTCCAGGTCCACTACTCTCGTGGGCCCGCCTTGCTATAACAGATACAACGGTGGATGGGTATCACGTGCCGGCTGGGACCACTGCCATGGTAAACATGTGGGCCATAACCCGAGATCCAGATGTTTGGGCTGACCCACTTGAATTCCAACCCGAAAGGTTCGTAAATGGGCCGGATTTTTCGGTTTTAGGATCCGATTTGAGGCTTGCACCGTTTGGATCCGGAAGGAGAACTTGCCCCGGTAAAACACTGGGCCTTACTACAGTTACCTTTTGGGTCGCAACGCTTCTACATGAATTCCGTTTTGGGCCCATTGAGAATAACGGGCCTGTTGACTTATCTGAGGTATTGAGGCTATCTTGTGAAATGGTCAACCCACTTACCGTTAGGGTCAGACCAAGACATGCTCTTCATCAAACCCAATAATTGCAATTTAAAAAAAGGATATATTTTTTTTTAATCTTCTGAAACCCCTTCTTTATAAAAAATGTCTTAAATGCTTTGTTTTATATTTGTATTTTGATATTTTGAGAGTTCATTTGACTTTGGATGTACAAATGATATGTTTAAATTAAACATAAGACACATATATGCTATGCATTTATAATGTTAATTCAAAATATTATATATGTTAAAACTAGATGGATGCTTCTTAAAGTCAGATGTCTATTCAAGAAAAGGAAAAGTTATATGGGTTAGCACCCCCTATATTTATGTATAGATACGAGATTATATACATATTCAATGTAATGTATTTCACTGTTATTATATGCACAAACAATATTTGGTTACGTTTCAAAATCGAAATACAACTACCTTTTATAACTAAGCAAGCTCTATTTTTTCACAAAGTTGAGCGCAAATAAAGTTATTTATGCTAACATTGTTAATACGAAATGACATATATGATTAATGTATACCACCGTTACAAGAATAAGCATGAGCAGCACTACAACTTTTCTCTTTAATTATTATAATGAGAATCTACGTATGTTTCGTAAAAGAATGCTTTTGTTTTACATTAGAATATTTATTGTACAATATTAAAACTTAGAAGAATATAGCACACTGTCCTTTTTATGCCGTTCTACTTTTGGCATAACACAATAATTGATGGATTCGAAATGGGCATTATATTTTGTATGATGAGTTGAATAAATATGTGGACTCTTTTTCTTGTTCATTTTTTTTTTTTTTGGTTTCTCCATGTATAATACCCGATTAAATCTTTAATTAATTACTTCGAATTCACATTAAGAAGTCCTAATTTAAAAATCAGATCATTTCTACTAAAATAACTCTCTATATTGCTAAGGCTCAATGAAAATCTTTAGACAATCAAACTAAAATGTGTTTTAATTAAATATCAATTATTAATAAAGTGTTTCAACTAGCTACACTTTTGAATTACATTTTTTTTAAAAACACTTTTTTACACGTGTTTCATCTTAAGTTTAACCGCATAAAATATGTCATCTTTTGTATATACGTTTCAACCTCGATTAGAAAAAGTCTAGGGTTTTACGATTTATTAAGGCGAATGCGCATATTAAAGAAAATGATATATTTTATGTGATTAACTTAATTACCTAATAAACGTACGTGAACATATACAAAAGAAATTCAAAATTTAAACCTTTAAGTGTGCAATTGAAACAATTTATTGGGAATTCAGGTATTCAATTGAAGTAAGGGGTTAATTATGTATCTAAGCCAATAAAGAAATATATTTGTTTATTTGTAGGGTATATATTGTGCATTATCCATGGGGTTTCATCTGATCCAAATGTTGGACCATGATTACCCAATTAATTCCTCAGAGACGCATATTTCTCTTTCATTGTTGAAAATAATAAATTTTTTCGTCCTAATCTAATGTACATTGTCAATACATAAATACTTGCATACGTATGTATGAAACTTTAATTAGTTTGTATTATTTAAAATTTTCAACATTTGTTTTGGGTACAACGAAATAAATTTTATATCACTAACAAAGCTCTCTCTACATATACATGGAATATAGTACGCTAGTATGTCTAGATTTTCTTTTTTACTATAATAAGTAGCTAAATATGCTTATTAGAATAAAAATAGTAGAGCAAAAGTCAGCTTCACGTCATAGAAACTAATAATGTAATTATCCAAAATATTCAACTAAATGAATCTTGGATGATGTGTAGAATTTGAGAAAGTAAGCCCTAAATTAAAATAATTCCGACAACAAAGGGAAGATATATTAAAAGAAACACAGATTTAATGTAACAATAGTCGTCATTCGATCGACATCCGAGCGATAAACATCTTTCACCTTCAATTTTAAGTTTGTGTGTTCGAGTCAAAAAAATATAGATGCTACAACATGATTTTGTTACATGTGAATTCATGATCTGTTTGAAAAATTAAAAATTTTATTTACCTATTTTCTTGAATTTATTATTCTGAGAAAAACATTTTTAGGGCACCCTAAGGAATCTTAAAGTTGACTAAGGATAGGATTTGTGAATACTATTACATGATTTATGCAGTTAACTAGTATAATTAAAAACTTAATGACATCACTGAAAGCCTCAAGCCTGCAACAAATTACAAGTTGTCCTGTCAACTTGGCATATATACTACAAAATTAAGAACAACAATATCGTCAGGAATAATTAGCTGTTAATGAACTGGTGACGACTTGCAAAAAAAAGCCAATTTGTTGGTGTTGATACTTCCAAATTAATGCTAAATTTAAATTATGGTTATTAATAATGCATGTAACTGGTCCAATTAATGTTTTCGGTTGAAGGTCTAAAATATATTTGAATTTTGACCGAAATTGTTGTTACGATACCGAACTTTGAAAAGGACCTTATACCCATCTGCACTATTTAATAGTATATTTTAAAGGTATATATGTGCCCACGTGGACATCATAAATATTGCATCATTATAAATAGTAATGTGTCCACGTGGGCACATATATATCTTTAAAATACACTATTAAATAGTGCATGGGTAAAAAAGGTCCTCCATAAAATTTAATATCGTAACAGCAATTTCGGCCAAAATTAAAATACTTTTCATACCCTTTTCCCTTGTTTTAATTTGTCTAATTCTTTTCTAGGACAAGTCTACCACTAGAACAAAATATTATAAAGTATGCTGCTAATGACCATGACTAATTGCCTAGTTTTCAAATAATCAAATAATATTGTTTCTGTTTGATGTATTCCAAGAATTTGTGTTTGGAAATTAAGTATGTTTCCAACTTGCCATCATCTTGTGGAACGCAAGCTACGAGATCCCAATTGTAGTTCTTTTGGGACTTTAGTCTCTCAATTAATTAATTGATTATCTGAAACTTTCACGATATTAGTGAGAGTTCAATTCTCTATCTTATAATACTCTCCTCATTTCTGGTAAAAGAATTTGCAATTAGTCTGAGACATACGTCACACACATGGCCAGTGACGGAAACTGATCAACTCAGTACTTCTAATACATAAATTATAAGATATACATGTATATAATTCACCAAAATGTCTAATAAAATATTATACATCTTGAATCTATAGTTCTAAAAGTAGAATAAATAGTGGTAAAATCACAAAGAGTCAACCTATGTGAAGTTAAAATTTTGGATCCAATATATGATACGTACCCTCGACTAGTCATAATTTGAAAGTGGACCTATGTGTAGTTAGTTTTACACCGTGAAACATGATTAAGATAACAATCTTTTATGTCGAATTATTGTTTCCATAAAAAAGCCAAGAAGTATCAATCATATCAAAAACAAATGAATCAAACAATATATATATCAAACATAATGGTTGAGTGTTTATTTCACCAATTGATTGAAGAGGTTTGGCCTTTGCCTCCTCCATTTTTATACAACTTGAAATAAAAACACTTGAAAATCAACGAGGAGGCAAATAAATTAGTGGCGGACATTATGAAACATACTCTCCATGACCAATTCCTATTTGTAATGAACAAACATCCTATAACCCTTTCTTTAATAATTTGATGTGTTGAAAACGACCTTTCACCTATATATATATTCAAAATTTTACTTCAAGTTGCATCGATAAGGGTGGGTTGCGGGTTATGTTATGAACATTATATTAAATTGATGGAGACATCCAAAATTATATTGAAAACACTAATCAACAAATTAATCGTACGATTTCCAATGTTTGGATAAGGAACAAGATGTTAATATCGAATCAGATTTACACATTCATGGTCTCTTTGTACGATTACAATGTTTTAATTACAACTTTATTATATAAACAAATGAAGCTTTAGGTTCATGTCGGGCCAACTTAATTTGTACAATGACTTAACATTTTTTATCGTACGATTAATACATATTCAAATTACAACTTGCATTATGTTACCTTTCAAAACTTAAAAGAGTCTTTAGAGAAGATTCTATCACTTTCTGAATTATTTTATTTTGAAATTTTATTATTAATTGTACTTAGTACCACTTGTCACAAAAATTATTTATTTAATGTCAATTACATTCCCAAAAAAATTTATTTAATTTTTGTAAGTTTCCCATGTACATTATATTCTAATTCTGTTGAAAGGTTATTGAGAACTAAAGTAATAAAGAAACATATTTTTAAGGCATGACTGATGACTCTATATTCATGTTAATTAAGGAAAAAGGATATTCCTAGTACCAGACCTTAAATCATGCTTATTTTGGATTACAAAAATTCAATTCTTTTGTGTTTGCTTGGATTTTCTTATATAGGGAGAAGTACTTATTTATTTTCAACTAGGCAATATGTAATATAGATTAATTATTATTGTTGATGCATTGCTGGCATATCCCTAGCACATTATGTGGACATTCAGATGTACTACTAAAACAAGTTGCTGGAAGAATATTTTTGTCAGTGAATTCTTTATTTGCGGGTCCGTTTGGACATACAATATAAAATCATAATTTAAAATAAAATTGTTGTGAAGTAAAATTATTGTTTAGATATATAATTTGAATTTCTTAGATGATATATTTTTGTCAAAAATGAAAACCTCACGAGTTGTGAAAACTATTAAAATTTTCTCAATTCTAATATAATAAATTATATATGACCAAAGAAGCAAAATCATAGTTCATAAACAAATATCTAAATATTTTAAAGGTATCATTGACCGCATATCCAATGTTTTCTTTTTTTATAAATAATGTTTGTGATTACGTACTTATATATACGCATAATTTTATACAGATCTACTTGGCAACAATAATAGTAACTAGTTATTTTTTAATATATTTTTTTTATATGATACAACCTCTTCATGTCGAGTATGATAATAATAGATTTTTTACATGGTACAAACAATCTTTTCAAGTTTGATATTTTAACAAAAAATATTGAAATCACAATTTTAAATTCCAAGTCATGCTTTTTTGAAAAATTTAAAATTTAAAATCATGAT